AAAAAAGTAATAGTATAGTATGTGATCAAAAAATCTCACAACAACGTCATAGTATAGTATGTGGTCAAAAATATCGTAAAAACGTCATAGTATAGTATGTGGTCAAAAATATCATAAAAAAGTCATAGTATAGTATGTGGTCAAAAATATCATAAAAAAAGTCATAGTACAGTATGTGATCAAAAATATTAAAATGTCATAGTATGTTATAAACAAATGTCACAGTTCATCCTTGAGTCCAAGTTGAAGAAATTCCTTCAAGGCATTACTGAGATACTGCATTTAGGAGAATGGGGCGGCCAGACAGATGGACGGCTATCGCCAGCATGGAGGAATAAAAACTTGCTAGCCCAGATGATCAAACTTGAATTTTTCACTTTGAATGTTGGCATCTGGATTTGACCAGTGTAATTTGAGCAACAAAATATTTTGACATGACCTCAAATACTTGCAAAATAATGAAATCGTTCAATGTGTTCAGGTTGTAGTTGAGAATGAGCCCACTTACCTCCAACATGGCCACCAGCTCAGACTTTGAGATGCCCATCCTGTCCCGGTCGCTGCTGTCAACCACATAGATGACTGCATCTGTGTTCGAGTAGTAACACCGCCAGTAGGGCCTGTCGAGCAGAGCGAGGAGCAGAGGTTGTCAGACGGGAGAAGAGACAGAGAGGATGATGAAGAGTAACAAAAAAAACATGGTGGTTTGACAGCGCATAGATGCAAGAATGAATGCAACAAGTCCAAACATTTAAAAAGTGAGGTGAAAATAGGTACATATACACAAAACCTTGCTTCTTCTGTTTATACCCAATCTCCAAAATGCTGTTTGGAGCTCCATCCGTGTCCCACATACATACACTTTCACAAACTAACTCCTGGGAGCTCCACAACACAGCCACAATCTGTCACCTACCTGATACTTGTCTGTCCTCCCAGATCCCACACCTGGAACTTCAGATTACTGTATGTGACTGTCTCCACGTTGAAGCCGATTGCTTAGTGGAGAGAAATCCAAAAGGGGACAGTGAGAGCCAAGAATATGATCCTGATGGTTACCACCATCTTATCTGCGTGTGCAGTGTGATTTTTCTGCTGAGTACTGAGATTACGATATACACTGCAGTACTCACAGACACAGCTTGATTCAGTTTATATTCTTATTTGATCACATACTTCCATTTCAGTGTTTCTAAACCACAAACTGACTCATACATTGTGTTTGTTTTTCTCCAGGTATCACAGCTGTCTTTGCTAACATCAAACTCTGTCAACTGTAATTACTTTCATTAAAGCCAGTGAAACTTGTTTGTCTTAATTTGCCTCTCTCCAGTAAAAGTCTGTGTGTCAAAGAAAAATGTTGACCAGACTGGTTGCCTTTGTTTACCCAGCCTCACTGTGCAGACACATGTCTGCAGGACTGAGGATGGATGCCATTCATACTGTAATATCAGTGTACATAAATAGACTGTTGTCATAACACTATGTTAAAAAAATACTATATCTGATAAACTGACAGTTAAACTGATATGAATCTGAGGATGTTGTGTGTGGAGGAATAAACACTAAATAAGTATGGGAACAAAGAAATACAGCAAGCCAGTACATACTGGGGATTGTGGTGACCACCTCTCCAACCTGCAGCCGGTACAGAATGGTTGTTTTCCCTGCGCCGTCCAAACCCAGGATCAGAATCCTCATCTCTCTGGTGCCTATCAGGCTCGAGAAGAGATTAGAGAAGAAATTACCTGAAAAATAAACACACGGGGAAGAGTTTAATGCAGAGAAAAGTAATTTTTGATATAACATCAACTAAAACAGCAAACATTTGCTTGCTCCGTCTTCACTATGAGCTGAATACTTTGGATTTGTTGGGTGTAAAACATCACTTTGGGCTGTGGTAACCATTGATGGGCATTTTTCACCATTTCGTCTTTGCATAAATAAACTTAATGATAACATAGGAATAAAAAGCAATGACTGTCCCAGCTACCTCAGCATGAGGTCCATGATATGGGCTGGTAGACTAACAAGGTATCCGAGGCACTCTGATTATGGTTAAAAATCCTTTAGTCACCCATGAATGGACCAGCACGTGTCAACTTTAGGTAGTCTTCAATAGGGTGAAGAGAGGACTTACACCGTGCCAGCCCATATTATGGAATCCTACACTGAAGTAAGCTGGGACACTCATTGCTTTTTGTTCTCAAGTGACCATTTGTCCTATCTTTGAAGAGCACCTAATTTTCTTACAATCACCTACAACTTGTGTCTTGACCCAGTGCATTCATTTTTCTTCATTATAAGAAGCTTAATGATAGCTTAAATCATGAAAACAAAATAGTTAAAGGCAAATCAACTGCCAAAATAGTGGTAAGAGTTGTGAAGAATTACAGAAACAGAGAGATGTGACAGTTACAAAGACATAAAAGTAAATTCAACGTAAAAGAGTGAGCTTCCTTACACCTGAAGCTATTTAAAACCCAATGTCTTTTCCTGATTTGCACAACAGTGGGCCTTTCAGTATCACTCAGGTGGTTGAGCAAGTTAGCTAAGGTTAGCTTAGCATCAAAAACTGACGTTCCGGCATCATTGAATTAACTAAAGACAGCAGGCCCTCGTTCATTTTTCTCTTATGCATTTGATGCCAATATATAAGTATTATTACACAGCTGGCCCGAATAGTTTGGAGACAAAACGTTAAAGAGCTGTCCACGTCAAAAGACCACGGATGACATACCGTATCCACGGTAATAGCTAACGTTAGCTAGCTAGCAGGCGAGCTGCGCGTTAAATGGAAACAGAGATATACTTGACCCTAATAATTCATACGCAATAAGGTTATAGAGACTCAAAGGGCACGTCCATACATTTAGTCGACCAATAGTGAAAATACTCACCCATTTCGATAAGACTACGGTCCTTCGGTGAGCAGGAAAGTGGCAGGTTGGACAGACACCTTCTTCCGTGTGGTTGACGTGTCGCTGAACTATGTCACCAACCCTCGCTTGGATTTTGCGTCGCAACATTCGACTCACTCAAAAAGCCATTTTAAACTGTAAAATAGACAAATATCAATTAATGGTACAATTTCAAAATTTTAAAAATATATCTGACATATTAAGAGTATTTTTTTTTTAACACGAGAATATTCTTTATAAAAACATAAATCTTTCCAGCGAAAGTGCTACTCAGGAAGACAAGATTCATCCTGATGCTCTGGTGCAGGGTACATTCAAGAAGCCAAAACGGTACCGTTTTCCTAAACGTTCAATAACTATTCGTAGTAACGGGAGTGTGACAGCGACTGGTGAATTGTTTTGAATGCAGCTCACATTAGACGAAGGAGTTGCCCTCTCCCAACAGCATCAAATTTATGATCACCTCAGAGAAGAAAGATTATAAAGATAGATGTGAAAGCTGGTCTCGCGACGTTAATTTGATGCAAAATGCAACCGTTCTGAACAGTTAAAAAGAACTTTACGATGCGGGACTCGCTCTGAGGTGTAATTATCCACGGATGGACCTGGTGCCCGTCGGCTGAGACATCATTTACAATCCGCTGTGAGACTGACGAGGCGGGACCGCCGACAGGATGGTGGAGCGGTCGGACCGAGCCCCTCTGCTGGACTGGGAGGAGGTTCCGTCCGCGGAGAAGCCCGGCGGAGCGGCACCGGCGGCACCCCACGCCAAGGACCGACTGGCGAGCCCCTCCAACAGCCGTGTTGGGTGGAGCGGCAGTCCAGGGGGTCCCACTCCCAGCAGGTCTGTATCCAACGCAGACGGCTGCAGCGCCCCACCCGCGACCTCCAGCATCCCGGCGGGCAAGGATGAAGCCCTGCGTCCCGACAGCGAGGAGCATCTCTCGGATCCAGGATCGAGGGAGGTGTCGCTGGAGGACAGGATGATGAAATGGGAGGAAAAGGACCAGATTGTGTCGGTCTTTGTCGTTACATTCAATACCAGATCAGGTGGGACATCAAATATGCAACATGGGAGTATCATTGCTTTATTAAACAACACACACAAAGAGAAAAGATCATGTTTATAGACAGGAAAACAGAATATAAACCAAGCCTCGTCTAATGCAAGCAATCCCTGTGTCTCACGCCCAAATATGAAGAGCGCGTGTTTGTACCAAGTCTGCAGAACCTTCTCCTACAGGTGTGGCTCTCTCTGACCTGGCCATAAGTTTAGAGACGTGATTAAAAGCCATCTGTCGCCTGACTACAGAAACAGACATGTAAGGATGAGTTCCGTGATGGGGATCAATCAGCTGGTCGTTTCTGCAGAGAGCAGGCAGGCCTATACATTTTTAATGAGGGGCATGTTGAAGACAAGATAAGCCCCTGTGAAATAGGAGCCAATCAGGTTACTCACCTAGAGGGGTGATTAATTTAAGAATCATAAGATTTAATGTTTCAAAATGATAGGAAAAAAAAACCTGAGTTCATTGCAAGTGGGAAGATTCCCTATCGGCTGGACATGGGTGCTTTCTGATTTTGCAGCATGGGTGAGGTTATGACAGGTTATCAGTGCTTTAAAAAATTGCTCAGTGGAAGGGTCATTGACACTAGTACTCCCCCACTACCACCATCTGATAGGGGCTTTGCACAAAAGGCTTCAATTACAAGACTCCAGGTAGATTAGCTGATCAGTGCCTGGTCTGTACAGTCAATAATGTTACCCTAATGAGCTGATGCCACAGCTTTCCTTAATAACAGAGCCTGGATTGACACGGTAATGCATGATAAGATAAAACAGGACACGTTATTGCTCGCAGTGTACTGATAGGATGAGACTAACAGAATGCACAGTAGGTAAATCATACATTACAAGACAGTTGGCTGTGGTACATCATTATATGTGTACCTGTAGAGAACAACATGTTCTTTTATTTAATATGTTACTAAATGTTTTACATAACTGCAGAATTTTACAACCAAGATGAAACAGTGAAGTATCAAAGGTCACTCATATGTTAAAGGTCCAGTTTGTAGGATCAAGTGGTATCTAGCAGTGAGGCTGCAGAACTGAAACTCCCATGTGCCAAGAATGTAGGGAAACTACGGTGACCAATGTGATAACGTAAATGGCAGTGTCTAGAGCCAGTGTTTAGTTTGTCCATCCTGGGCTACTGTAGAAACAACATGGTGACATCTGTGTAAGAGGACCCGCTCCCTTTGTAGATACAGACAACTTATTCTAAGGTAACAAAAACACAACAGTTCTCATTTTCAGGTGATTATAAACTAATGGAAACATAGTTATGAATATTATATACCATTTCAGCCAATAGGTGCTCCCAAATCCTACACACTGGACCTTTAAAATATCAAGGAAAATATACCTCTGCCTAGTGGTGTGATGGTAGTTGATGAGGTGGGTGCACTATAAGGTAGATGGGTAGGTTACCAAGGAGTAAGTGGGTATAATCTCCTATATATTCCAATGGCGTTTTGGGCAATAGGTGGGTAAATGGCCAGAAAAAGAGGTGGATATACCCTTCGCTACACCTCAGCATTCGCCTTAGCATTGAAACAAAATGTAGGCTATTATTGTGTCAGTGTTTTGGCAAGATATCACAAAAAGATTGCCCCATTTCTACTTACAGAAAGAAAGCCTCACCTGTGCTTACTTAAAGGAGCAATCCACCCAAAACACAGGGCTGTGGGGGGGTATTTAATTGGACCTTTTTGATTAGAGAGCACAGCAGAGAAGTGACAGGAAGTCAGGGAAGTGAAGACATGCAACAATGCTGCCAAGACATCCCAAAGGTTTCTTTTTCAAGTGAAGAAATGAGACTTAAGGATCTCTTAGAACATTTCTGAGTCTCAGTGGTGTCGTCTAGGGTTTATACAGGTGTACTGTATACCCTCCTCTCCTTCTGTCCGTTTATAGTATACCCACCCATCAGCCAAAAAGCTTTTGGAATATATAGGAGAGTATACCCACTTCCTCCTCGGTAACCTACCTATTTACCTAGCAGTACACCAGCCTCATCAGCTACCACTACACCACTGTCTTTACTGTGCTGAAACAAGCATAATAGAGTAGGATTAATTGTAGTACTTCACCTGTAATAACGCTGCAGAGAGCTGACAGTAAACAGTAATTGGGGATAATTTCTTATAGACTTTAGTCTAGCATCAAGAGCCTGATGATACATCACAAATCAAAGTATCCAGATTTTGTGCCTTTGTACACAAATAGGATGTAAACTATATAATGAAAAAATATTAAGTCTCTAGAGGCCATTTAATACCAGTCCCTCTGTACAGGAAACAGCTTTGAAAGGCACTTTGCACTGCACGATAGTTAAAGCTTAATACTTAAAGTCAATACCAGCTGTCAGAGTGGTAATGGAACATCTTTTGTGTTAAGCCGCAGGTGGATGATACAGACCTGTAGGCTCGATCTGACGAAACAACTCATATTTCTACAGAGACTCCACTGACTGATATGTGTAGCTAATGATTAGATTGAAAACCACAGAGGCTGAGTCACCTTCTCTGTCTCCCCACTCCTATCAAACCATATTTGCTCAGCTGCCGCCCGAGCGTCAGCGTCCAACACATAATGAATTCCAAGGAATCCAGTCCCTGTTGTTTTTTTATGAACATTAAATGAAATGCTGATAATATATTTACAGTGTGGTCTTGTATCCGTGCTTGTCTGCTGGCCTGTGTGTTTTAATATTGTGTGGGTGTGATAGGAAATATGCTGGAGTGGTGTCTGCCCAAAGACATGGACCTGGAGGGAGTGGAGTTCAAAGCTATCGCCAGCGGCTCCCACCGAGTCACCACAGACTTCATGTAAGCATTTGCACTATAGAGGAAGTTGTTCACCTTCTGTACAACCTGAAGGGCAACAACCAAGAGGAGGAAGGTAATGTTGAGTATTAGGATGCGGCCCCATGTCCTCCTCCTGGCAGGACAGAACGACACAAAGTGTTGCCTGGCAAAAAAAAAAAAGAAAAGAAAGCCCAGCCATCTGGCAGTGCCTTTGCTTTTCATGACTCATGGCCTCGTCTGTCTCCCTCTCTCCCTCTCCCATCCCTCCATCCATCCACAGCTACTTCCGGAAGGGCTGCTACTTTGGCCTCGCCTGCTTTGCCAACATGGCGGTGGAGAGCACGGTGGAGAGGGGGGCGAGGATGAAGTCGGTAGGGATCCTGTCACCTTCCTACACCCTGCTCTACCGCTACATGAGCTTTCTGGAGCACCAGGTCAGGTAAGAGGAGCTAGTTTGTACAACAGAGTGTTTTGCTGATGCACATTACAGGGAATATTACTTTCACTGAGCAACAGGCTCAAAATAACTTCTATAAAATGTCACGAACATATCACAAGATCTTGGAAGTGTACATGGTCCAATTTCCAATTTTTTCGACACACTTTAAGTACTTCCCATGTCGGCTTTATAGTTGAGTTTGGTGGTCAAAAGAGTAAAACCTCATTTTGAAAAGCTGGAACCCGCTGTTTGCTTGACATATTATATAAAATGATTAAAGCTGCAGTTGGTAACTTTTATCAAAGAAATAACTTTATGCCATAGTAGAAAAAGTTTAAACCTAATTTTAAACCATTCAAAGCATTTTGACCAAATGGAAAATTGGTTTGGTATCCGAAAAATTGGTTCCCAGCTAGAAGCAAACGACAGTAGGTTTTCCTTGACCTGAAGTGCGAATCGTGACGACATCAGTGGGCGTGTTAGATTCTACAGATTGGAAAGAGAGGATGGAGAAGGCAACAATAGAGATGTTAAGTGAGAAATCCTAGGAAAAAAGAGCATGCCGTAGTCTCATTAATAGTATAAAAATAAACATCTGCGGGGTTCTGATCATAACTGGTGGAAACATGGGCTGGTGCGCTAGATAGCACCAAGGTTTCAAGAGTCCTGAACAGAACCGGTGTGAGAGCCAGAGCTCATTTAGTGGAAAAGGGGTAATAGTGCTTCTAATGGCATTTGCAGTCTACTGCACCTGAACAAGAACAACCAATCAGAGCTAAGGAGTCTCTTACATGGCTGTCAGTTATGTCAGTCGCAGCTTGTGAACTGCGGTCAAACTGTCAAACTAGGCAGCACTGATCAAATATTAATCAAGATTCTGTTACTGCATTGGTTCACTTTAGGACTAGATGGTACAATCCCTGATGCACATACTTGAGACTATGAGTGGGAGTAATAGTGTCGTCTGGGGGTCTGAGTGGGAGCCAAAGGGTTTGATGGATAGAAGAGTAGGAAATCACAAAGGTAGATAGAAAAGTAAGAAGGAGCGAAGGGAAGGCAGAGCCAAGGAGAGACGTCTGTGCGGACTGAACTCTCCCCTGCCGAACCGGGCCGTACACTCTACCTTCCCCTACTCCCTCATTTCGATGAGGGAAGAGAGAAGAAACTAACAGAAGAACTTACCTAACTTTGATCGAGGTGTTACCAACTACAGCTTTAATTAATTATCAAAATGTCTTTCAAGTAATTCAGTTGTTCAATCAAAGAGTTCGTCCTGTGACACCACCACTACTACCACTAGTCAGAGGCTTCACATATGGCCATGTTAATCCAGAGGCAAGTTCACATATGGCCACTAGGGGTTGCTAGAGGGGCTTTTTGAATGCTCATAGCCAAGTTCCTGTTCTTCTTTCTTTTCCCTCATCTCAAATAGACCACTCTCACACTTTCCATAACTCCTGTTTTCTTTCCCTGCTACACTTCCTTTATCTTTAAACCCCATTAATAATTAAGAACTTGCTGGAGTGAGCAGACTCGTGTACTTCAGTGTTACACCCCATGCCTTGTCACACCCATGTTACACTTTCCCTTTGAACACAGCTCTCTCTCTACATTCCTGTCTGCTTTCCCTCGATCCTCCTCCTCTCTTCCCTCTCCTCAGTTCCCACACTCTGGCCTCTCTTGGCCCCCAGTCATGCAGCGGTCATGCTCCTTACTCATCATTCCCCTCGTAGCTCGCTCCAGATTCCCCATCTGCTGACTGCCATGGCAGTTACATAAAGGGCTCACTGTTGGTCATGAGGTGGTTCAGACATTTAGGAATTCATGGATACTTTCCCTTTCTTTTCTCTCTATCTCTCCTTCCCTCCATTTCTGATTTTGACTCTCTTGTTTGTCTTCTCCTGGCACTTGCAGCTAGCAGAACTAATTAGCTGTGTCTTGGTATAGAATCCTAAAATGTCTATGTAACCCATGGTACAGTTGGTGACACATAAGAAAACACTGCATGTGAGTCTTACACATAGGCGTTTCTAGCCCATTTTTGGGCCCTAAATTGAATCCCAGCACCCCTAAAATTTGAGAGATTTTTTATTTATTTATTTATTTATTTTCTGTATGTCCCTTTTTAACAAGCTAGAAAAGTGTCAAAACCATAGAGTGCTTGGTTGCAACCTAATATTGTAACAACAAAAATACAGCAGCACCCCCCCCCACCCACCCCCCACCCCCACCCCTTGCCTCAAAAATGGTTTGATCCACCCCACCATCTTTCCCCGACTCGGGCTCTGAGCGCTCTATCTGCACAGAGCAATGTGCTGCCTTCCAGAGTAGGTGATATGCAGTAGTGGTGTAAGTACCTGGCTTAAACCAGGATATGTGGCACATTTCTTAACGTCTACCACTCAATACCAACACATTATTATCATTACCAGTCCTCATTTTTGCTGCATTTAATCGTAGGTCACTGTTTATGTTGTTAGGTAGGAGTTAGCTGACGTTTTTTCTAGCTAGGAAACGTTACAGGTGGTCAGTACCACTGTCCTCTGTTTGAATTGGAATGAGAGAAGCTAGCTGTTGTGTCATGTGCATGTGTTAATATTAAAGCCAAGGTGCTACTGACTAGCTAACTGACTGGATGCCCATTAACATTATAACTCCTATTGTGTGTATTTATTATTATTATTTTGTAGATTTCAAGCACTTTTCTTTTTTTGAAGTGTATTGAAGATTATTTTTATTTATGTATTTGTATTATATAATACAGACAAGAAGGAAAAAGGCAGAGACAAACATTGAAAAAGTCAATTACTGTTAATATGTTAATGTTACATGTTGTGCATTGCATTTCAAATAAAAATCCAAAAAATAAGTCCAAGGTCCATTTTTGGTATTTTTGGTACTCACAATAGGGGGCTGGTTTACTCCAGAAACATACATACTGTTTATGTGTATGTTGAGGAGCTGCTGTATCAAAATGAGTTATCCTCCCCCAGAAATTAGGCTTACAATATGTTTCTTTTATGATTCCAATCCATTCCTCTTTTGCTGTGTCTCAGCATTTAAATAACCTTTATCAGATTTGATGGTTTAATCACAATCTTTCCCAAAAAGTGTTGTGCTTTTCTTTCACAAATGTGGGAATGAAATTGAGTTAAAATGTACAAAACAAAAAAAAAATTTATCTTGCCTGGACGGGCAGCTCTCTGGGTGCTCAGCACCCCTAAACCTCTGATCCTAGAATCACCCCTGGTCTTACATGCAGTTGGAAACCTAAATCTCTAATTAGTTAAATAGTGATCTTGTCTATAACCTCGTTTATAATTCAACCTTTAGCCTGGAGGATCACATTTATTGCTGAAACAATTACTTAACTGATCAAGTAGTTGATTTACAGAATTTTAATCTACTTTAACTTTGATCAGAAATTAATTTAAGTCATTTTTCAAGCAAACATGTCAAACATTTAATGGAGTACTTTAGGGGGTACACGTTTAAAAAATATCAGTCATGCTTAAAATAATTTGATTTAAGTTAGAAAAAATGCAAGTGTAAGTTTGATAAACCAAATGTTATATTCAGTATTCTTTTTTTTCTTTTTTTTTTTGAAGCAGTCGTTCACTGCCATAAACTGTCAACTGCTAAAATTAATGCAACCAGTTGTGGTTGAAACATAATAGCAATACAGCGGAAAACATAGAGCAAGAAGTGAAAAAGAAAGCGAAAACAGAACCACTAAAATACCATCAGTAGCGGGAAGAATATGTTCTAATAGGATTTACCTAGTTTTATTTTACCTCTTTATAGAGGCTTTTCTTTCCCTGTTTTTGTTTTTATCAATAATGTTATGCACTGGTGAGGGGGCATATGGCTGAAAAATATTTCCACCACTGTTTTAGAGATTAATAATGAAGCCTTAACACAAAAAAAACATCACATTTTACAGGCATACTCAGCCAGCTGTTTTTCTTCTGTACTTTGTTAGCATACTATTTCACAGATTGACATCCAGCCCACTGCAGTTCACTGTAGTCCAGTCTGTTGTTACTCACTGAGGGTTTCCAGGCCAAATGAATGTGAATTACAATTAGCTGCAATTGCACTAATAATGACTGTTAGCCACATGCATTTCACATGTTAGGGCTCCATTTTAAAACCAAAATGGTTTATTTTAAGGTTTAGAATTTTGTCCAAAAAAAAATCTTATTTTTTGGTGCCCCAGGCTCCAGCTTCAGTCCCCGGGCCACTACTCCCCCCTGGAGGCCTTCTATGAGGACAAGAGAGCACTTCTGCCCCCCAGTGGTGATGGTGTTGTTACTGCATGTCCAGCCAATGCCTGGGGAGCTGCCATCAACCACAGCATGCACCCTGAGATGAAGGTAAGCGGCCGTTCTACAACTTTGTAAGCTGCTGTTTTTTTTTACTCTATATGACTCAGTAACTTTTTTTTACCACTGTGTCTGAATACCTATGGACCAGATCACTCACCCTGCAGGCTGTATGTCCCAGTTCATCCGCTTCTTTGGGGAGCAGATCATGGTGCTGTGGAAACTGGCTCTGCTGCGCAGACGCATCCTCATCTTCTCCCCTCCACCTGTGGGTGTGGTCTGCTACAGAGGTGAGAATGGATTTATTTTTACAGAAGTTTAAAGGAATAGTTCAACATTTTGGGAGTTCTGCATATTGACTTTCTTGCCAAGAGTCAGATGAGATGTTTGGTAGCACTTTTGTGGTATCAGACTTTAAGATCAATACAAAGCTGGAGCCAGCAGCTGGTTAGCTTAGCTTTGCACAAATAATGGAAACAGGTGGAAACAGTTTACCTTTCTATGTCTGAAGGTTTTGTGGTTGTTTGCCTGTTTTTGTGGGTCTCTTTGCAAGATATTAAAATGTGTATTTCACAACGTGTCAAAATATTCCTTTAATCTAAAAGAAAAATGTTTGTTTTCATGTTTTTACTTTACTTCAAGTCTCCACAATCTGTTACAGCTCTGGAGCCCATTAAACTTAATCAGACAACTGTGATTTCACATCAGCGTACATCCAGTTTCTCTCCAGCTGTATCAGTGAGACAGTCTACACGTCATACACACATTCACATCCTGTGTCGCTCTCTTTCTCACCCACACTCATGCATCATTTATCTCATTTCACCCTCCACCCCCTCTCCCCTCACAGTGTACTGCTGCTGTTGCCTGGCAAACATCTCCATCCCCGGTATCGGCGTGGCCGTGCCCGAGTTCCGCCCGTTCTTCTACGTAAACGTGGCCGACATCAGCGCCCTGGAGAACGAGCTCTCCTACGTGGCGTGTAAGTGGATGCTTGAAACATGTTAAAGCCACACTGAAAAAAGACTTGTTGGTCTGATTCCTCAGCAGGTATTAAACCATCTCATGTATTTCTTACCTCTTTAGGCACTACTGAGAAGATCTTTGAGGAGAAGAAGGATCTGTACGATGTGTATGTAGACAATCAGAATGTAAAGACCTACAGAGACGGCCTGAAGCCTCTGCTCCGCCTCAGCACCGCAGACAGGGAGAAATATCGCAAACTCACAGAACAGAGGTAGGAAACACTTCTAACAGCTGAACTACTGCTCACATGTTACAAAAGTCTACGGCTGGTGTTGCTTTACATTTTTCTTATTGTTACCAAATCTCCTTAAAAAGAAGCCCAAACTACATAAAATACTTTACGACCACAGCATAAGAAGAAATAAGAAAAAAAATAAGAAAAAAATCCAAGCAGAGGGCAGAGTCTCTGCAGATAAATGCACCGCAACACACTTCTAGTGGGTCATAAGTGATGGTTGAGAGGGAGTCCATACCTTTTTTAAAGAAAAATCCTTCATAGTATACCTTTAACATCGTATTACCATTTTGTCATGGTAACATTAGCATTTAGCTTGAAGCACCACTGTGTTATGTACAGCCTCACAAAGCTGCTGGCACAATGTCCACCACAAGTACACATTACATATGTTAGTATAAATTAAAAGTAGAGCAGTCTCTTGTGTGTTTTTAAAGGTTAACAGCTGGAAATAAACCGTGTGTGTGTGTGTGTGTGTGTGTGTGTGTGTGTGTGTGCAGGCAGATGTTGCTGTACTCCCAGGAGGAGAATGGAGACTGTGTGTCCAGTGAAGAGGATCTCTTTATTCTGTAAGTACAACATGATTCATTTACCCAGCCAGTGGAGTGATAACTACTGATTAAGCACTGTGCACAGAGCTGACACAACTTGATCTTTTTATGAGGAGAACAGTCGGCACAGTGGCAGCTTAGAAAAAAAATGAATCAAGGAAGTAATGAGCCTGACAGAATCTCCTGACCTTTGTCCTCCTCTCACAGTAACTGTATTTTTTCAGTCTCATAAAGGGCAGATGTGTGCTGTGTCTTTGTGCTTCTTCCATCTTATCACTGCTACTGTTCAGCATAGAGACATGAAATGAAGTCTGCTTTCTAAGTTCAAATACATTTAAGTTGCCATATTTAACTACTCACCCTTCCTTCTACATGTTCACACATTCAGGTTTTTCCTGGAGCAGAACAACAGGATTTTCCAGACCCTCAGCGAGGTGGCAGGGAGCTCCGATCCCACGCTGACCCAGGAGAGCGTGAGGGCCATGGGTCTGGATCCCCACGGAGACAGGCTCTTCCTGCTCCACCTGCTGGAGATCTACGGCTACGACACCCTGCTGGTGTCGGAGCAGCTGTGCTGCAGTTGAGAGACAACAGACGGCTGGCTTTCTGCCTTTCATCACTGCTGATTTAAAACTGGGGATGAATTGCCTCGAGCAAACTCTGAGTGCTGCACTACTGGCTTCTTGGAGTCTTCAGGACCGTTTGGAACTTCTCTGGTATCACGTTTTTTGTTGTATATCTCCCTGTGCTTCTTCTGTTCGCCGTGGTTTTGCTCCTGATGGCAAGAGCAACAAAAACAGTCTCATGTATTATAACAAAGAGTAATATGGTCAGTTCTACTTGATAAAGCCTTGCGGAGGCTTACGATGGATTACTCACCCAAAAGTGATTCTCTGGACTGGGTACAGCTGGAGCATTTTGACACTGAGCCGTGTTTGAATGTCATGGATGGCAGGTTCAAACACAAGATGATGGCTTGAACTGTACTGCGCGGGCATCAAGTTGAATGAGACTTCCTCCAAGATGAAGTCATGATTTGAAGATTTTCAGTGAACAAAAAGGATCAATGTATGAAAGTGAAATAGAGAGGTAGCCGTCCTGTAAATAATATTTTTTTCTTTTTATGTATAGTGTGTCAGCGTATGTGTGATATGGGGTCCGCCTCTCTGCCAGTGTTGCTTTCCTTGTATCAAGTGCTGGATTTAAAACATCTCATTTTAAAGCCTCTTTGTCCAAATCAGGGCCTCCTTTTTTGTAATCTAACTTAGGTCACTACAAGCAGGTCAAACCACTTTTGTCTTCAAGAGCCATGTCTGTAAGCACTGCTGTTTAACTAGACTATATAAAGACTGTATAAAAGAAGTGGATGTAGCTACTGTGGCGTCACCCATTGGTTGGTGGACTAACATTTTCGAAGCCTCAAGTTTGGCATTGTTGCTGTCGCCATTTGGGTTTTTTTGCAAACAGAACTGGATGAGAGGGTGGAGCTATGGAGAATCAAAGGGTGGATCTGACTGAGAACCCAAGGACACCACCGTGGTAGCAACTTGTCAATCACAAGGTAGACACGCCCTATAGCACACCCTGCTTTATTGTCCATCTTACTCTAAATGGGACCTTAATTTACAAAATAACATCCTGCTGTATTGAGGAAGACTTGAAACTAGCGATTGAGACCATCAAAAATCAAGTGAGAAGTAGGGTCATTTTCTCATAGACTTCTAAACTTCTTTTTACAACCAGTGGAGTTGCCCTCTGCTGGCCATTAGAAAGAATGCAGGTTCAAGGCACTTCCATATTGGCTTCACTGCTCAGACCCGGAGATAACCCCTTGACTGGCACTGAGACAAAATGACCGATTTGCAATTCAGTGTTAAGACTATTTTTAAGCTAAGACCAAATCAGATTTTCTAATGATGTCCAACAGGCAAGGGTGACGTCCACGTGGATATGGAGGCGATTTGAAAATGGCTGATTTGCACCCGTGCTGTCAGCTGAGCCTGCACTTCAGAGGCATAAGCTGTTACAAAAGCACTGTTTAGTCTTTAATGCTTTTTCTCAAATGTATAGTCGTGTTTTTCAGCTCTCGTATCAAGACAAAGACCGGCTTTCAGGGGGTGAGTTCGCAACTTCAGATGATTCTCTCAATTCCAAGACACTGAGTTGATTTATCTAACAGCCAGCGTCTGCAGAATAGATCATAGAGAATCAGTTAAGACATAACTTTTAAGCTTTGTACATTTTAAAGCACACCATAGCAGCATATGCTTTCAGCTTCGTTACCAGAGAGGTTGCAATTGTTGGTATCTTACGTTGTGTATTGCTGTCGATACATGAGGTGGTGCATCAAAGAAACAAGGTTCTTGGTTTATCAGAAATAAAGTGAGAAGCTTAAAGCTGCATTAATCACATTTTTGACTTGTAGCAGACAGCGAAACTAAAAAAAAGACATACATAGCTACTACATCACTTGCTTGTTACGTATTTAATGGCTAATGTGTTAGCAAACAATGGCTCAATTACACATCCAGCTAACACAAAAAAATGAGCATTCTCGCTAAGTTTCTTTTAGCTCTACTTTGGTTTTCACTAAGTCCAAAGAAAAATGGCTTTTAGTTTCTAGCTGTTCAACCTTCTTCGTTAGCTAGCTGCTAACTCACTGCTGGATAGATAGCACACTTTACTTCTACTGAAATATTTTGCCAAAAACAACACTTTATGGATGCTAAAAACAGTGTGTTTCATAAATGCATAGTCTCACTTAGCCAGACCCGAGAAAGGGGAAAAGTCAGGGGGGGAAAAGCTCTGGCTGGTTTGTATTTTTTAAACCAATCATAATAATCGTAGGGCGGCATTAAGCCCACTATAATGTGCTTCAGGGATAGCGTTTTTCTCTAGGCTGAGGCGGAGCTTAGCGTCGCCCTGGTTCCCTCATCAGTAAACTAATGGGATTTTTCCATTAGATTTTGGATTAGTGCAGAAAATAAGCTCTGTGGCGAACACATGTTTATGATACTTATAGTTTTCGTTCAGCAATATAATCTTTACAAATAAATATATCTGAATGAAATGACAAGATGTAGGGCTACTGTTTTGTGTTTTTTTTGTACTTTGTTTTTGTTTTTTTAAGTTGTGAAGCTTTCGTGACCCCTAGTGGGGGTCAGGACCTCCAGGTTGGGAACCAGTGAGTTGGATTATTAAAACCATAACTTGCTGTGAGGCTAGCTTCACAGAGCTTGAGTCAGTTAATATAAAAAACAGTGAATAATGCAGCTTTAAGCTAAGTTTTCCCCTTTGATGGGATAAAGAGTTGAGCCTGCAAACCTCCATAGATCAGGTATACTTGAGAAATTCATGTGCAAGGTCAGTGTTTTGGGGGAACCTCCTTTAGTAACTATCACTACATAATTGCTGTAAGAAAATACATGCGCTTAAAGAAAAATTAAATTCAAGTAACATCACTTAAAGTCAATCGCATTGTTAATTTGCTACTGAAATTTCTGATTCAAGCACACATGAAGCTAACCTGGTGCTTTTTTTACTCCATGGGCTTTGTGCCTGGCACATATGATGTACTCCTGCAACAACCTAAAGGTTATTCTGTCATTTTCTGTTTTACAGTGATGGTTTTTATCCATTGTATTTCTTTTTATTCATAATGTTTATTCGTTTGTTTAGCTGTTGATTGTTTTGAGTGTAAATAGTCAATTGCTGTAACATTATCTGTGAAGAAATGGGATCAGCTGAATGTGTTTTATAAGGCTACTATGGTCCCACAGAGCCTTGTGTATCACTGGATCCCTCATGCAATTATGTGATCGGCTGTCCGCTGTAAGAAAACAATCTCGAGCATATTTTCATGCCACATCGCATGGCATCTTTTAGACCACGTGTACAGAGCTGGAGCAACCATGTTTGTAGTTGAAGGGATAGTCTGACTCATGTTAAAACACCTTCACTTTATTTATTTTACTGTAAACCATTTCAGAAATAAAGTGCATCGCCACTTGTAAGGAAAACACAGCCTGGATATTGTTATTAACAACCTTTACATTCCTGAATTTAACCTCTAGATTTCATTCATTTTATCAAATACACATTTCAAAGCTACCGTCTTTAATGTCAATGGACTTCAGTCTGTTGTATGTTTGTGTTTATTTATTTATTTATTTATTTATACTTGTATGAGTATGTTCCATGGTGCCTGATCTTGAACGTTCAGGAGAGGTTTTCCTCGTCACCAATGATGATAAATTCCTCATCATCGATGACACTACTGTTAACGCTACATCTGGCGCCATTGGTGGTGATGTCATAGACACCTGTCACAGCAACTTTGAGAACTGTCAGCCAGCTCTGTTTGAGATCGGAGCCATCGCAGGAGAACGTGTGGGTGGTTTTGGATTGCCGTAAACAGAAACAACGCTGACCCTGGAGCTCCTGAGGGGAATCCTCCACACTGCAGCCCAGCAGAGGTATACTGGACAGGGGCTTCACATCCTGGAGAAGGGGGTGGGGGTGAATGAAAGGGATAGAGAAGCTGTATGAAACTCTTTTTTGCGATCACAAATCCTGCGGTTGGATTGCAGCTGAATACCATGCTCTCCCCTCTAATGGAAATATGTCCTGATATCACTTTTCCATATAATGGCACACAAGCCATTCACTCAATTCATTTTCTGTAACAGCTTATCCTCTTGAGGGTCACGTGGGGGCTGGAGCCTTTCCCAGCTGACATTGGGCGAGAGGCAGGGTACACCCTGGACAGGTCGCCAGACTATCACAGGGCTGACACATAGAGACAGACAACCATTCACACTCACATTCACACCTACGGCCAATTTAGAGTCACCAATTAACCTGCATGTCTTTGGACTGTGGGAGGAAGAAAACCCACACTGACACAGGGAGAACATGCAGACTCACCACAGAAGGGGTTCAAACCAGGAACCCTCTCGCTGTGAGACAGCGCTAACCACTACACCACCGTGCTGCCTTAAAAAATTGGAACTTCGGCTTTGTTAAGTGTAACATTCTATCCTAACTGTAGGTCCAGATTAAAAGCAGCATTTTTTGCTGTTTATGGATCAAAATCATGAAGACTTCAAAAAAAAATTCTGGTTTTCTGTGCATATGTTTGTTAAAAATAAATCATTAGGTGTTTTCTTAGGTGTCAAAAGCTAAATTAAAGAGCCTGGAGTGGCAGTACTCTAACCTTAAACTGTCTGACAAACAGACTCAGACTGTATGGTTGATTGCACAACAGCTCTTCACAATTTCAGCAGTGTTCCCCTTTTTTCCATGTGGGTGCATGATTGCAGATGGTGACTGTTTGTTTGCCACTCGGGGAGTGACTGTGGTGACAGCTGTGTATGACAACATCACATGCAGACCCTATGGAGACACCGCCACCCGAATAACAGTGAGACACAAACAAACAAGTATGTGGTTCAAGTTTCTCTAACACAGAGACCCCTACCTGTGGAGCAGTATACAGGTGGAGGATGCAAGGTTCAGCCCGGGTGATAACAGACCACACCTGCTGCCAGGTCTTGGGGTTGTCACCATACAGCAAGAAGCCACTCATTATGCAGTCACTGGACACTGTAGATACCTCCGACTGGGAGAACACATAAAGAAAACACAATGTTGTTAAAGACTTGCATCCATGTTATGTGGTATTTTATGTCTCTAAAAAGGACATACTTCCTTTAAAGGAATATTTACCATCATATCAGTTTCCTGTGTTACACTGAATTTGTGAAAAAAGGTTTTCTGACATGCCTGGTGAATGAAGAGGCCAAAAATGGAGAAAATTCTTACATAATAATCTCCATTTTTGGGTTACTACAAATTTTGCTGGAGCTTCTACCCCTTTGATTCATCTCACATCTCCATGCACCTTTGAAATATGTGAAGTTGCTCCAGAAACCCTCACCCTACCTTTCGAAAACACACAAGACTCACCTCCAGCATCCTTCTCTTCTTCCACTCCACCCTCTCCCCTCTCTGACTGGTCAGGATGGAGTAGCAGGCTTTACACACTTTGTTCAGCCTGTTACCGTCGTACTCCAAAGCCACTTTATTGTCTGAACACTTCCAGCACACCACCTGAGGAGCAGAG